CGAACACCTATCTCGTGGGCGTAAAAAGTCTGCTGACCTTGAACTTTACCGCGGCGTACAAAGTCTGCCCGTGCGAACGCACGCTAATAACACGCGTCGTCACAAAATAATCAGTGCGGCTTAATGACGGTTGTAATTTCAACATTAAATGGCGCAAATTACGCCCGCGGATTATTGACGCCTGCCGCGGCTATGGTAACCATATTGTTGCAAGTAACAGGACCAAAACATTGCGTTATAGTTGAAATCCTTTACTATAGATTATTTTGTTAAAAATCTAAATTTAAACATGGTCTAAATAGTAGTTTTGGTAAAGAAATAACTATTTCGATTTTTTTAAATAATTTGTAGCGTAGTTTATTTACCAAAAATCATGAACGATTTTTTTTTATTTTTCTATATTTATGACATTGAGTTACAAAAGAAACAATGTAATAAATAGTGAAAAGCTTAGCGGCCGACTTACGATCTCTCGAAAGACGTGAGACGAGCAACTCTGGAGGAATATCCGATTTCCTGTAACGAGACATACCAGTCAACAAGCTGTAACGTATAACTTAATTAATTTCAATAACTTAACACGTGAAAGATGTGATACTTAAAAAAAATTGTTTAATCTCACTGCAAACACATAAACAAAAACATATTTTTTATAAAACTTATTATTTTTACAAAGATAATAATGATACAATACCTTTGCCCACGTGTTTCATTAGTGTAAGCTAACAGTAACATGAAAAAAATCCTATAGAACATAGTACCATGGTCACCCTTGCGACCCAAATAGATGAAGCGCAAATAAAAATGTTGAACAATTCAGTTATCTGGAGTACCGCGTGCAACGTCCTCGTGCCGGTGCACGCCTACAATGTTTCGTATTTGCTTAATGCCATCGACGTCTCTATTCTATAGGTGGCGCCACAACTGCATTACTACTCGACCTAGTTCGCGTTGAGCACATCTATGACTGAACTCTCGCACTGTTTTACGATTGTCGATTGTTAGACAATTCGATTGTTTAGTTGCATAATTAATAATCGAGTTGTGTACGCACCTCCATATAAACTGGATCAAAGCAAGACTAAACAGTTGTGCGATAGTTTGCTTTCAGATTTGTCACTTATGTACTTCAATAAACATTAATTATATAAATTTAAAAAGTCATAAAAACTTTGGAAAATTTTTGTATTACTCTTATAGAGAAATAAAATCTTTGGTTAATTGGTTAGGTTAAGTTTATACTTTAACTTAATGCTGTCGTAAATAGTATTAAAAATATAGTAAAAAGCAACTTAATACTTAGTACCAAATAGCATATTCAACATGGTTTGCAGTATTTCAGCTGCATCTAATTTAAAAAAAAAATAAAAAACAACGTTAAGCTTACGTGATTTCAAATAACGTTCAATAAGCGCCAATTAGTTCGTCCGTTACATTTGTAATCCAAATTCAAACAGAATATAGCAGTTGCAACGTATATGTTTTTACGAAAACTCATTTACATTAATAAACCCACTTTCTATTTCTCGTGTGGTAACAAAAGGGCGGAGTATTATGTAGAACTATTTCACTTTTCATAGTAGACACTCAAAATAGACAATATTAAAATTACCTTGATTTCGTTAATTTCGGTTCTATGTTCTATCGATATTATATTAATTTCAAAAATAGTTTGTGCCTATTTGATTCGCCATTTTGGTGCTGACGATTACAATTGATAGCCTTGGTGAGCATTCAAACTAATAATTGTGTTAAAAATGGTAAAAAAGACATTCCCTATCCATTTATACAGACCAGTGTAATTAATTTTCTTCTAATAAAACCAATACACGATGCCACTGCGTTTAATCGCTAAGAAACAATATCGCATCGTCGCTTAGCCCACGATAAACAGACCTTGGTGTCTCCCTGACCCAGTTTACACCCGCAACCGAGCTGTGTACACTACACTGCGCGATCGACTTTACCTGCCCTTACTAGCACTATTTACAGCCTATTCCTTTCTACAGTTACACGATGTATAGCTGATTTTGACTTTTAGTGAAATAATAGCTATAGTTTGTCTAAATAAAATAGATTAGTTTGATAAATGACGTATATAAAATATCGAATTCAATTTCTATGAAGGTAAATGCCATACTTAATAGACAGGTATCGTAGTGACGAAACAAACACTCATAGCGAACAATTTGGAACTATCGATATTCTGTTTAAATAATTATCGAACTCGACTAAAATTATTATTTTCTTATTAACTAATTTATAGGACAATTCAAGTTTTGATTATAGTGTAGAGAATTTAGCGATGACAGAAATAATATTGAAATCAAATTCGATTACGTACGGCTGTAGTAGTAATAAACATTTATTTACCTTCATTATTTGCTATGGTCATTACTAATTTGAGAAAACAGTGTTTTTTTTAAATTCATAAGTTATAATTATAAATCTATCGATTTCAACTTCTATAAGAATAACAATCGAAAATCGATAAGATTCATGACTGATATTACACAACCCATCCCTACTAAATTTGAAATGAATTGTCAAATTAATCTAAATTATTTAGACACACTATAGCCTGGTGCCTGCGCTATTAGTTCTGTCAGATATTATGAGAAACACATGGACATAGAATATTACACTAACGCCATTAGTGAGTGATAAGAATTTAGTTTCAGATACAGATATTTTGTAGGTCTACATGCTATTAATAGCGCCGTTAAGGCGAAAATTATTAAACACAAAATATCACTAGTTTTAGACAACTTATTTAATTGATACTGTCACTTTAAACTCAGAGCAATACTTCTCGTCAGGACTCAGGTTGCGCGCCAATCCATCCATACTTCTAGTGACATTGACAGCTGTCAGCTAGGGACGTGACGTTTATGCCGATAATCTAAAGTTGCGCCAATTCTACAGCACGGTACTAATTTTGTTCTTGACACTAGTTAGAAAAGGTTACACGGAGTTTATTACTAACTAGCTGTTGTCTGCGACTTCATCCACGAAATACTAAGATAAAAAAGCCTATATGCCCGTCTATATCAGCTACCCTCCAGTAAAAGTCCAGTAAAATCGGCCTAGCTGTTTCGCAGATTACCCGGAACAAACGCGGCTTGTGGACAGACAGAAAAAAAAATTTTAAATGCGATTTTCGTTATCAGCAACGCAAATACATCATCTTCCTGAAATCTGGAATATTTCTTTTGATAGATTTAGATTAAAATAAATTGTCTTAGAGAATGATCAGTTTAGCTTCAAACAAGTCAGAGAGTTTTGTTAATATTTATACGCCCCGGAGTAATCTAAACATGAAAACTATACGTACTGAAGGACAGTAGAAGAGTTAATTAACTTATTTAAGACACAATTATTATAAATGAAGATAATTCACCACACTGACGCACATTCTGGCTTTTATGTAAATTTCTATAGTCTATAGTTCGCGCATTCATTGTGGATACAAAGCTTTACAATTGGGTTCGGTAAAAAAACATAATTCAGTGTTTGGGAAATCCAATCGTAGTAATCTACGTATAAACAAAAAGCGCAGAAGACTGTAAAAACAAAAACAGGTCTTGGAAGAAAATACGCAAAAGAACGATTGGTTACTTCGTTGTATTCAATTAATCTATACATATTATAAAATTGAAGAGTCTGTTTGTAAATTTAAAAAAAAACAGACTTCGGAAAGATAATGCATTTGCGTTTTGCGTATTTAATTTTTTTGTCTGTCTGTCTGCTCCGTTTGTATCGGTTGATTTCAGAAAGGGCTAGGCAGATTTAGACCAGACTTTCACTGAAGGGTAGCTGACATAGACGTGCATATTATAGGTTACTTTTTACGTTAATATTGCGTGGACGAAGTCGCAGGCAACAGCTAGTATAATATATATTGTGAGTTTATATCTGTGGATAGGAGTTATGGACATAAGACACCTTATATTAAACTTTTGAGAAGTAGAATTAAGTAGTAGATTAATTAATTCCATCATACATGGAACAAAAGTGGAATTTCAAGTATATAATGTCTCTCGTACAATTATAATTATAATAATTAAATGCTTTGTATTTTAAATTTTTACTATTAACTCGATTATTATCACAAAATAACGAATCAACTAAAATTATTCTTCTTTTTTAAATGATATCTGAAATAACACGCGGCGGCCTCGTGACAGACGCGGCGCCGGGGCGCCTAAAATGCTGCTCCTCTATTTACCAAAATATTGTCTACATTTAATAGATAAATTCATTATTAATATGTCATTTAGATTTCTTATTTCTATTTTTTTTAATTACGTAATACGTTTAATTTCTTTAATTGTGTAATTTTTTACTTAAGCAATAAATATAATAAAACCTTGCATAGGTATACAGAACTAGTGAAAAAACAGAAACGTTTTATAATTGACAAAGTCATACAAATATTGATGTAAAAAGATAAAAGCGAAGTTATGATTTTTTTTCTAAATCAATTTATAATATAATGAACGTTTCTCGGTAATAGTCTGACTTTTTGGTAACAAAACCCTCGAGGGCTATAAAATTGTCTTATTATTCCCCGAAGACAATATGAAAGTTTAATTAATAATATGACGCTTAGAAAACAGACAGGTATCCGCATTCCCGTTCAAATGTTACACAGAAACCGTCAAGAAACAAGTGAAATGGATATTTTACCGCGGCCCTTAAAATCCGAGGATCTATACTTCAAAGGACAGAAATAATTCAAAGACAAAATATACTTCAAAGAAAATTACGTAATAACGTTCAAGGTGTCCTATTCCACCGTCAAATATAACAATCCAAATATACTCCTAATAATTATTATTAAATAACAATGAATAATTAAAACCCGAAACTTTTTATGACTGTATTTTCCGTTAATATACGCTCTCATATCAACAGTAACAAGGTTATAATACCATATGTTTAGATTACGACTGTGAACACAAACAATCAGAACTAATAAATTATGAATGGCATTGCAAGGCGATCGGTTACACGGTATTGTTACGATGTAACGTATACAATGTGACGCTGATGCTTACAGAATTAATGACGACCGCATGTTGCGTGACGGTGCACTTTTACATGTATAAAGATTGTTAATAGTTTTCATTGCTATAAAATTTGTATTAAACGTATTTCTATCTCTGTCTTTTCGTGTAGAATAAGCGAGATGAAACACATGTTTTCATACAATCATGTATGTAGAATCTTATGCAATTATGAGACAAAAGTTTACATGTCTCTAATTTTATATTTTAACGCTCTCAATTCAAATAATTAAATCAACAATATGTGTTTCATGTTTCAGCAAAAGTGCACGTATTTTATGATTCTTATAAAGTTTTTAGGAAGCAGCATTTTATCTGCCTCATAGCCATGCGTGCAGGTGCGGCCGCCATTAGGGCCCAGCGATTACGAAACGATTAGTCGCTCGTTATTCGGACATTAGCTCAAGATATCTCAGTTTTGTTCAATCTTTACATCACTATGAACAC